GGGGAGACACAAAGGCAGAAGGAACCGCTGGGACCCCCCGGCCCCCAGAGCTGGTGTCTCACGCCAAGCACTGACCTCCCCTCCCCAGCCCTGGCCTCCCCCAGCACGGCCCAGGGACGGCCGAGTCTCCCCCTCCTCGGGCACCCCTGCAGAATAATCCTATGACACAAAATAAGAAGAACACATCACATTTAGATTTAGAGAACACGTCACGCGCTGCTCACGCCTCACAACAGCCCGGTGAGGTAAAATTGAATCCCCCCCACCTTTGCGGATGGGGAAACTGAGGCAGAGAGGTTGAGTGGCTTCCCGAGAGCTCGGAGGGAGCCGAGAGCCGGGCTCACCCTGCGGGGTGCCGAGCCCCGAGCCCCCTCCCCGGCCCCGCAGCCGCGGTCAGGGCTCGCTCCCGGCCCGGTTCTGCCTCCGGGGCTGCGGAGCCGCCGAACGCGGCCGGGACGGGCACGGCGGGGCCGGTGGAGCCTCGGGGGTGCCGGGGGGGGCGGAAGGCGAGCGCTGCCTGGGCTGGGAGAGGGAGAGCCGGAGCCCTCAGAGCCCTTTCCATGCTGCTGCTGCTGCTGCCCGGAGCCTCTTCTGCCCCACCCGCGGCCCTTGAGGGGACCCTTCCCCGAACCCGGAGCTGCCGGGCCCAGCCAGGGCCGCTCGGCCTTGGGGACCCTTCCCCGAACCCGGAGCTGCCGGGACCGCGGCTCTGAGGGGACTCGGCCCTGCCCCATCACCCCAAGGACGCCACCGATACCAAGCTCCAAGAAAACTCGAGATTCTGCCTGAACACAAAGCCCACGCGAGGGTCCCGGGCCCCTCTCACAGCGACACTCGGGGACAAGCGAGGGGCAGCGTAGAAAACTACATTCAGTTCGGAGCCGGGAGCGCTCTGGGGCGGCCTCGGGCCCGCAGACTCGGGTACTCCAATGTTCTTGTTTAACAGTAGAAAAAGCCCAAAGGAACTGTAAATGCCACTGATACACCGGGAGGCGCTGGGCTCCGGCCCGGAGGAAGCTCAGCCGGGCCGGGATGGAGCTCACAGCCAGCCCAGGATGGAGCTCACAGCCGGGCCGGGATGGAGCTCACAGCCAGCCCAGGATGGAGCTCACAGCCCGGCCGGGATGGAGCTCACAGCCGGGCCAGGATGGAGCTCACAGCCGGGCCGGGATGGAGCTCACAGCTCAGCCGGGCCAGGATGGAGCTCACAGCCAGCCCAGCCCAGCCCAGCCGGGATGGAGCTCACAGCCAGCCCAGCCCAGCCCAGCCCAGCCCAGCCGGGATGGAGCTCACAGCCAGCCCAGGATGGAGCTCACAGCCCGGCCGGGATGGAGCTCACAGCC